CGCATGTTGAATGGTAATCAGTGTTTTTTTTTTTTTTGAAGAATTGGGTTGGAAAAAAAAATCCTCCCAATGCATTTCACTGGCTGTCACACGACCGAGGTTTGACTGTAGTGAAATTCACACGAATTTCACTACAGTCAAACCTCGGTTCTCGAACGTCTCTGTTCTTGAGCAAATCGTTTTTCGACCAAAAATTTCGAGTTTTTTTATGCCTCGGATTACAACCGAAAATCGGTTCTCGACCAAACTGAGCGCACTTGAATGCGCCACTTGACTCCTCTCGCCTTCCTTACACGAGGAAGTGACCCTTCCTCGGCTAGACGAGGAAGTGACGATTCCTCGTGTAGCGTTCCATTGTGAGCAGACGTGTTCAATAAAATTTTTTTTTTTTTTTTTAAAGAGCGTGGTTTCGGTTTTCGAACAAATCGGTTTTCGAACAGTCTTCTGGAACAGATTATGGTCGAAAACCGAGGTATGACTGTATTTGCAAACCGGCCCGTTCCCTCTGTGGTCCCCTGTCATGGCATTTCCATTCATTTTAATGGGTAAAGATGGGTTTATTTTCCAAAGTCAAGGCCCTACTGTATTTTGCATTCCCAACTATAAGCCTGAATAGAATAACAGTGTTGCAGGGAATGGGCCCACCTGTGACCTTCGACAAGTCTGTGTGTGCAGCCCTCAGCCACCAAGTGAAGGGCGTCATTAACAGTTTAGTTTCTCCTCTGCTGATTTACTGCACGCTTTTTAATAGGCCTCGTGGAAGCGTACGGCCTATTAAGCAGACCCGCAGTGGCATATAAAGCTTAAATGAGGTCACGCTACTGATGGACTACCGAGCAAGCGTCCTCCTCTTGCCCGCCATCAATCAGGAGCCAAAACAGTGCCGTGAACATGGCTGACCACACAGCGGGAAAATGCGTGAGCGTGCATAATCACAATTTGCGTTGCAACTCTTCTGTCGTGATGGCCAAAATATTGCTTTCTGCATGCTAGCAAGCCAACTTGTAGCATTTGATCAATAATTATTTGATATCTTACCTGACTGCAGGAAAAGACATCAAAACTTTTATGCCTTAGCTTAGTTTTCGCGTTGTATCTATTTTCATTCCAAACATGCTTAAGGCCATGATCTTCAAATCCTGATCCATATGACGCAGCGCTTCTACAGTGCATGATGGAAAATGCTTTTTTGTTTTTTTTTTTGCTTTAGCGCACTCTGTACTTACGTTATCTTGCTGTCTGCTCAAGCGCCTTCTGTCCTCAGATTGCCATCTTGCTGTATGGAAAGATGATTTCATTGATCTGCCTTACCCCCTCTTGTTCGCTCGCTTGCTGTGTTGTCATTTTAGCATTTTTGCCATTTTCATTCAAATTCTGACATGACTAGAGGGTGTGTTGTAAAATCCTTATTTCACTGCCTTCGCGCTTTCGGTACTCAGGAACTCATCTTGTGACCTAAGCAACCGTTAGCATTTTTGCGTTAGTACTGCGACACTTTTTGTGTTGATAGACAAGATGATCTGGAATTAACAATATGGCTCCACCCAATTTGTTAGCTTGTTATCTGTGAATGTAAAATGTTGATTTTCTTGGGGCCAGAGCTGATGTAGTTTTACCAACAGCTACTGGGTTCAAGGTTCTGCTTACAAATTCATAGACACCTTAAAAACAACAACATTCCTCCAGATATTGTTTTTTTCAGGTAGTGCTTGAATGTCCAGGAACTTATTGATGGGATAAGAAATACGACAATAGCAAAATAAGTGTGTCTTAAAACCCCCAGTATGACTCATTCCACTTTCAAACTTCTCCTCACATTGTGGCAGCGCTAATCTCCTTCATCCTAATGGCATCCGCACAGCACCAACACAGGAGGACGGCGCGCAGAATCGATGCGTTTGACTTTCGTTATCTCACTGGAACCTTTTGCTCAACCAATCACTCACCAAACACCTGCCTCCTGCTCCTCCAACCTTTCAACCTTCTCATCTCGTCACCCTCCTTTTCCCCCCATCAGATTATTCAGATGGCCCTCCGCTCTCTACTGTCGCCTCATCTCACAATAAATCCAAGAAAATGAGTGTGTGGAGACGCAATACAAATGAAGTTCCTCCTTCTGTGCCCATGACAAGTGAGGCTTTCGGGAAATAATGTCCATCAGTTATTTTCCGAAATGTGTTTTCATCTGCTGAATTGGACTAACACCTCATTTGCACAGTATTTAGCTTTTTCTTCTTTTTTTTTCAATGCAAAATAAAACCACATTTAAAAAAAAAGGAAAAGTAGCAATCCTGATTTTGATGATAAAAATATAATTTTATCTGAGAAAAGCATCGCAATGAAGATTCATTCTCATTTTAAAAGGATTGTACGATTGCGGCCACAGATGCAAGGCTTCAATGTACGTGAAGCCATGATGGATATGGATGCGTTAGGAAAAATGTACCATTACTTTGTATTAGAGAAATTGTTGTAAAATTACAAAAAAAAAAAAAAAGATGTTTTTATGCAAAAAATGTATAATAAAATGCATACAGGAGAAAACAGTTGCAATATAACAGCAGCAAATTAGAGAAAATAAATCTGCATTTTATGAACATAAAGCAATACAGTATTGTTCGGAAAAGGTCATCCTCATACTAAAAAGATAACATCAACTTTTTTTGTGGGGAAAAGTTTTAATGCTGCGAAAGAAAAGAAATGTTTTGAAAACAGGAGAATAATCTCTGAGAAAAAAGTTGCATTATTAAGAGAAAAGGTGGTCATTTTATTCAAATAAAACCATAATATTAGAATGGTGACCGAATGAAAATGAAAAATACAAGAGAATAAAGTTATATTTTTTACGGAGAAAACTGTTGTATCACAAACATGGCATTTCACAAGAAAAAAAAAGTCCCAAATTTTAGAAGAATACAATTGTAATACTCATTCAACTGAATAACGTGGATAATTTATTATTTTTATTTTTTTAAGATGAGAAGTCATTATACAATGAGAAAAGTGTTGTACGGGAAACAGTCTTGATGTGAATGAAATCATTCAAAATTCTATTTTTTTTTCTTTGTAAAGTGTGATGACAAAAAAAAAAAATCATAATTTTACTAATTTAAAGTTCACTCATTAAATCGTAATACTTTCAGAGTGAAAATGAGAATTTTAGTGAAGAAAAAGTTAGACCTGTACAAGAAAAATGTCGTGGCATGAGGAAAAAAGTTATCATGGTATGGCAATACAATCATGTAAACAAATTAAACACACAACAAAGTCTAATAGTATGAAAAATGTTGCAATATAATGAAATTAACTTTGAGAAAAAAGTTGTGATATCAAGAGGGAAAAATGATCCTTATAGCAGGATCTTCAAAGGGTAAGTCGTTTCACTTTTAACAACTTTTACCTTTTTATACTGTCCAATAGAATGTTCAAATATGACATTGTTGATATCCTGACACACGACTGAAACGACACTCTGCTTTGCTTGCTTCACAGAAATTAGTGTGGGTTTTTTTTCTCCTTTTTTTTTTTTTTTTAAATTTATGTTGTTGTTGTTCATCTGTGCCTAATGCGCGACGGTGGCAGGATGTAATTGTTTGTAGCCCACCAGCAGGGGGTTTAATTGGACAGACAGGGAGGAATATACAACCTGGTGACTGGCACCGTCGCCTCATAATGGGGTGCAACCGGGCGCCGGTGTGGTCAACTAATCAAAACGGGACTGGGCCTGCTTGGTGAACCGTGACCGGAATACTGAGTGGGCATCTCGGCCCCGCCGCTTCGCATCAGTGGCTCGGCGGGGAAGGCGGAGGGGCGGCTATCGGGGCGTATCATTATGTGGTCGTGACCCGGCAGCACCCGCAGCACAGTATATTATTCGTGCGGCCACGGATGGACGGCTTTAATGTAGGTGAAGCCATGATGGACTGTTCTACCGCACTTTTACAAGACTTTTTGAAGAGCAACGTGTTGCTCGGCGACGTGAACTTCACTGTACTATTATCACTTGAGTGTTTGCCTCAAACAAAACATCTAATATGCAGACACCCAGTGGCAGGCCCTGGGCCTTCAGACATAATCCACCTATGAATACCACCACTATCAGGTTATAGTTTTCGAAACCATCAATGTGCCCATTCTTATCACAAGGAAGACAGCTGCTAACGTTAATGTGAATTCATGGACACGGACCAGTTCACAACACCCTTTCTAACACGCCAGTGTTCAGCAAGCTCGTATCTTGCTGTCTTCACACTCCGTTCACGAAGCGAACACAATTGCCATGATACGCCAGCGAGTTTTAATGCAATTTCATGTGTCCTAATTAATAAGATTATCATTATACTTGTGGTGGCCCGGTGGTACAGTGGTTAGCACGTTGACCTCACAGTATAGAGGTTGTGGGTTTGATCGCGTCTCCGGCCTTCCTGTGTGAAGTTTGCATGTTTTCCCCGTGCCTCTATTAGAAAGTGTTGGAAATCACTCCTAAACCCATCAAAAGAAGAGCCATGAATGATCGTTTTTGTTTTCTACTGCAAATTTGTCATACCATAAAATACATTTTAAAATACAATAAATTAGGTCGATACTGTTTCATGACATGGAGCCAAACGAGTGTATTCAGTTGAGGAGTAGCTTTTAATTTAACTTTTAATATCACAAAGGAAAAAGTGTTAACTTTCACTTTCAGCGACAACCAAAGTCACTTTTTCCTTAATATTTTCAGAATGAGCAAATTCATCTGGCTTAGACCTACGAAGGAAAAGAAGACATGCTTAGCTTATTAACGTCTGAAAAAGATAAATGGATTAAAGATTGTATTGTAAAGATGATAGCCCATAAAACAGTTAATTCTAAAAAAAAAAAATCTTATGTTTAAATCATTATTCTTTTCTTGTAAAATAAAATCAATGAATCAATCAAGGGCATCTACAATAGTGCCCTCTGCCGTTGAAAAAGTATTTATTTCAACGCGTCTGCATCTTCAGCAAGGCATGATGGGTAACTTCTGTTAGCCAATCAGGTGGCCAGGTTTGCTCGTTGCTATGGTGATAGTGAGGGGGTTGTGGTTCGAAGCGCAGTCAACGGCGTCATTATTAAAAGCGGAAGAAAAATATACGTGATTTTGTTGTCGTATTGTCCTTAAAAAAATGATGTCATTAGGGTGTAACGACGTTTGTTTTGATAACGTAATCACCATTTAACATACCATTCGTGGGCAGAAAGTTTGAGTGAGAGGGAAAAGGTGGAAAGCAGTTAAGGTACGTTGTTAAAATGAAGCATCGACAACGAGTTGCATATCTTTTGTCTGAGGAAACTTACACTTAAGTGAATTACGTACAACATGGGGCTACGTTAAAAAAAGTTTGTGTTTATTTAGCACAAAAATATACTTCGCGATACTGCACAAAACAGTCTTCCCTTAAGGAAAACGGAATTGTCAATGGTTTTCAAAACACGTTTTTGTTACCCATCCATTCATCCATTTTCTAATCACCTAGTCCACACAAGGGTCGCGGGTGTGCTGGAGCCTATCCCAGCTGTCTTCGGGCAGTAGGCATGGTATCCCCTGGACTGGTTGCCATACAGTTTGTTTTTCCGGGATTTGCTTCATTTATACCAAAACGAGCATTAATCCCCCCCCCCCCAACATACACACACACACACACACACACACCAACTTACGCAGAAATAAGATAAATGTCTTTTTTTTTCTTGACAGATAAAATGTCCTTTTGAAACAAACGTGCCTTTTTCAAATTATGAATGAAAACATGAACCTTGTTATACCAGCATTTTAAATGATCAACAATGTCAAACTGCATTGCTTGGTTGAATCAATGTAAACGTGCCTCTCTTGCCCTCTCAAAGTCTTTTGTGTACTGGTGATGCAAGAAAAAAAATGCAATTTTGCAATGCAAACATAAAATCAACCAAAGCTACAATTCAAACAATCCTCTTGAGCACTGAGGAAGATAAAGTTGTTAAAATTTTGCATACAGTGTAAGCACACAGTTGGAGAGAGCTAACATTTTCCTGCCTGATGGTCTGAATTAAAAAAAAAAATCTGGAACATCTCTCTCAGATACGTGTGCGCAACAAATGGGCACTCGAGGTTTGATCTCATCACCATCTTTGGCTGCTCAACGTGCCCGACCATCAGAAATATCACCACACAGAGGTGGCGACAATGGAGCTTCTGATATTAAGTCATGTCTGGCACATCACAGCAAAGAACAGGTAAGCAAATACGTATGACGTCACCACAGAATTATATATATTTTTTATTGTATTTTTTTATGGGTGATGGGTCATGATTACATCTGTCACCATAACAAACTTTTAAGGATGTTATCTTTTCTCAGAAACTATCATGATAAATGATCGTCATAGAAGTATCATTGATGTTTTTTGTTTTTTTTATGCCACCAATATAGTGATATTGAAGCAGAGTAACTGAAGTACATTCTTTTGGACAGCAATTAACTTTTTATTCTCAAGAATATTGAACACTGGCATTGAATTGTAGAGCAAGAAATAAAATATCTTTGACAAATGAAAAATAAAACTGTTTCGGGCTCTGTTCATAGAAATTCCACTGAAAGAAATATTATAAGTTCCTACTTCCATGTGGTCAGTTTTGTCTCAAAACATTTCAAGATTTTTTTTAAAAAGAAGATTACTTATTTATTCATTTATTTTTATTTATTTGTGTTCAGCGGAAGGGTGCTCGGGTTACGTTTCAGAACGGTGAACACCCGGAGGAACTGGCCTCAAACAGCAGCCATAAACTGCGGCCGTTACTTGGATATGACTGGATAGCAGGTACGCCTTTCTGATGGGTTTCGTTCCTTTTTAAGAGCACAGTTCTCAGGTTTAAAGGAGGCATGTTGTGCATGTCCCCGCTAATTTAAACATCTTCATCAGTTGTCTGTAACATGCTTTAGTCAAAATACCCGAGCATAAAGAATTGTATGTCTTGCTAAACTTAGCCAATTTTAAATGGCCGGTTGTGTCTCTTGCCCCTTATACTGCTGAGCCAATGGCAAGTCCAGCTTTGGTTACCATAACAACATAGGTGGAGCCTGAACTTTCTAACTAGTGCGGCTTCTCCTTGAATGAGCAAGGAAAAAAGCAAGCCGTGTATTTCATTTTCACTCATTAGCACAGCCCTTCATGTGTATGTGGCAGTGTTCTTACCCTTTAAGCAATGGGTATCTGAACACAAACGATACGTGTAGACAATAAAACACTTCTCGCAGGCATGTATTCTCTATCCTCTGGAGGAAAAAAAAAACAATATTACTGCCGTACTGAGACGCCCCAAGAGGAGCTGATACTCCAATACAGTATATCTGTATTTCTGTTTTATATTGCCCCCAGGTGGCTAAGGACACACAACAGAACAGCACAATATACAGTGAAGGAGAAAGTGATTGTCCCTTTAAGTATCTAACCTCCATTTTGGAAAACTGAAAAAAAGACTTTTTAACTTTTTCACTTCTGTACTTTGTCTGTCAGGTGTCCTTGATGTGGAGAAGTCCCTGCAAGGACGCTCGGATGATTTCTACGAGGAACTGCAAGATTTCCGAATGCAAAATGAAAGCGAATGCATGCACAAGTCCCAAGCCAAGTGAGTTACTGTATACCGCCATCACTGGTTGTCCCTTTGTTGTCGTCCTCACCTGACACTGATTATCACGCGGTTCTCCTCAAAGATTTTCCCCAGAGAAGCAGTCTGTCCTGTCACTGTTTGCAGACACTGATGACCCGATTGCCGACGCAGATACTCATCAATGTAAGATGCGTCATCGTTTTGCAGCTATGACAACTGACGAGTGCAATGTGCTAAGAATGCTCATCCCTGCTACTTTTTATCCAGGCACCTTCTTGTACAAGTTGAACAGTAGACTGTTCCCTGTCCCTGTTCACCCTGGAGAATGCTGTCCCGTGTGCAGAAGGCCAAAATCTTCACACCCCCACACTATAAACAAACCAGCTCTTGTCAGGTAATATCACACAATTTTTACATGTACAATGTTTGCTCTTTTCCTCCCCAAGTTTTCCATACCGACAGGAAAAGAAAATGCAAATAATGCTAATAGAGTTTCAACAACATAACATTGAAGGTGATATTTTGAGGCAAAATAATGTATGTCACATGTGGTTGGTTTTATTCATTGGTGTGGTGTGTATGCGTGCGTTCGTCTGCGTGTGTGGTCATTTTTCAGGGTCAGCATCCCTAGCTCCACTCTGCTACCATCTTACAACTACAAAGCACATCGCCGCAGCAGCTTCGATTCAACCGATAGTTTGGGGTTACCCTCTGTAAGTAAAATTGATTGAGCACCAGTGATTTTGGTCACGCATCACTCAGTAAAGCTTTACTCCAAAATGTGCACATTTTCAATTATAAACAAATATACACATTATTTTTTCCAGTCAAATTTTCTGACTAAATTTAAAATTTATGAAAAATAAAATACAGGAAGACATCTGATTCCTACCACACCGCTACTCACTGAAAGTTCTCAACAAATAACTGTACATTATGGAACACTTATGAAATTGAAACTCATATTTATAGGTTGAATATAGATGTCACAAATCCGTCGTGGCCCGTTTTCAGTGCGTTGATGACTCATCACGTGTCCCGTGGCCCACCAGTCGCTCACCAACGAGCCCCACCTCCAGGCCTGGCTGCAGAGGCGGACCCCCGTTACCCACTTCTGGGCAAGGGAAAGCTAGATACACTATTTGTATTCATCATTGGGGTCTTTTGAGCCCTGCTTTATCTGGTCCCTCACCGCAGACATCTTACCTGTAGCTCCTCGGATCATTGACACACAAACACTTCCGCCACGGTAAGGTGACGACTTACGGAGAGAATTCATAAATGTCACAGTTAAAAATACACTTTCGATTGCGAGGTGACAAAACCAGGTCATTTTTATGTTTAGCAGGGTTGTCTGTAGCTGCTGAATATAACTATTCAAATATCTTGCAATCTAACTTAAAGTCAATTAGTCACTGAAGTATCTGAGTAACTTTTTAAAGTAATCAGTAATTCACTAAATCAGTAAAGTAACTAAATTAGTCTGCCAAAAACTCTTTAACACATTGTATAAATGCAGCATAATTAGCTGGTTTCATGTCCCGTCCCTGCTTTTACACAGCATTGCCTTTTGGGCTGGTCCAATACGTTTCGGAGCTACTTGCAACCACCCAGCAACCTTGACCTGCGAAGTCACCTGGAGAAGCGCACTGAGCAAGAGGTAAGGCTTTCTACTCTGACTTCATGAGGTGGTACGCCTGCGCAATCTGAGAAGACCAATGTAATTTATATAGCAGTCTGATGTACACTTCCTTTGAGATATATACTGTGTGTGTATGTGTGTGTGTATATATATATATATATAAGATATTGAGATCTTAAATTAAAAAAAAAATACAATCAATATGCATGTCTAAAATAGATATGTAAACATTTGATCCAAAATAAAATCAGGGCAAACAAGAATTGATATGGGGAAAAAAAATGAATGGACTGAATACATAAAAATGGAGTAAACTAAATGCATTCGTGCAACACATCGGTAAAGATGATCACTTATGACTCTGCTCTCATCTGTAAAAAAAATTTGCACGCCTACACAATCTGTCTATCGACATTCTTGCATCAGATGTGCTTCCATGCCATCCAGTCGCAGACTAACACGCTGAAATCTTACCAAAGCCTGCAGCAGGACACTGAACAGGACAGCGGAGCCTACGAGACGCATGGTTGCCCTTCAGCGAGCTCCTCTGAAGGCAGAAAGCAATTCAACTCCTTCCTTATTTAGCCTCCTTAGCTCCGCTCTTGATTTGTACCCTGCAGACCCTTATAAAGCCACCAAAGGCTTATATATATATATAGTTTTTTTTTTCAGGATCAGGTGACCACAAGTCTTCAGTTTGACCAAGCGCCAGTTCTTACTCCGTTGCCCCGTCACCATTTCCAGCACTTCACGCCCAAAAGAAAAAAAAGACGACCTCAACCTTCAACTAACAGCTGACAGACCCCAAAAGTATTTTCCCTCATCCATTTTTTGTTTTTGAATGCTTGTCATCAGGGCGGCACAGTGGTACTAATTAGCACGTCAGCCTCGCAGTGCAGAGGTGCAGGGTTTGATTCTGGTTTTGGCCTTCCTGTGTGGCGTTTGCATGTTCTCCCTGTGTCGTGGGTTTTCTCCAGGTACTCCGGTTTCCTCCCGCATTTCATAAACATGCATGGCAGGTTGATTGGGCACTCCAAATTGTCCCGAAGTGTGATTTTGAGTGTGAAGGGTTGTTTGTCAATGTGTGCCCTGCGATTGGCTGGCAACCAGTTCAGGGTGTCCTCTGCCTACTGCCTGGAGACAGCTGGGATAGGCTCCAGCATGCCCGCGACCCTTGTGAAGCTAAGCGGATTAGAGAATGGATGGATGCTTGGATGGGCCGAATCGCGAGTGAGCTGGAACCTAACCCAGCCTACTTTTGGGCACATATTGACAACCAACCATTCATACTCACATCCACATACATCTATGGACAATGTAGAGACTTATTAAACTAACATACATTTGGACTGTGTGAGGAAGTTGAAGTATACACAGAAAAACCCATGCAAGCATGGAGAGAACGTGAAAATTCCACACAAGAGGGCCCGAGCCAACTTTCCAACGCCGAACTTCTCATTGCCAGGCAAACAGGTTAACCGCTATTGAACCCTGCTGCCTCAAAAGTCAGTTTTACAATAAATTATAAATGTTGTGTATATGTCAAGTCAAATAAACATGCTGATTCTTTTAGCACATGGTTAAGTTCATCCATTAATCCATTTTCCGATCCGCTTTATCCTCACAAGGGTCGCGGGTGTGCCGGAGCCTCTCACAGCTGTCACCGGGCAGCAGGTGGGGGACACCCTGAACTGGTTGCCAGCCAATCGCAGGACACACATAGACAGTCATTCGCACGCATTATCACACCTAGGGACAATTTGGAGTGCCCAATCAACGTGCAATGCATAGTTTTGGAATGTGGGAGGAAACCGGAGTACCCGGAGAAAACCCACACAGGCACGGGGAGACCATGCAAACTCCACACACGAAGGCCAGAGCCAGAATCGAAACTTGCACCTCTGCACTGTGAAGCCGACATGCTAACCAGTGCCGCCTCTCGTACAAACACGATACACAAATGTAGCATTACATACATGGCAATTTTCCGCGGATCCGCGGAAATCCGCCGTTTTATTTCTTAAATTGATCATTTTAGTGAATCGTCTAAATCCGTTGAGAAAATTTTAGGGGCGGTCAGGTACCTTATCGTCGAGTTTTCACGAGCTCTCCCGAACAGTCTCTCCGTTTTCCGTTTGTAAACAGCCCTGCGATTGGACGTGTATGAAAGCTTCAACTAATCAGATCACTGAAGGCATTATTTGTTGCGGAAGTCTTAGCTCGATTATAAACGGCCCAGCGATTGGTTAACTACAAGCGATTGGACCAATCAAATTGCATGTAACATATTGTTTTACCTGATTCATGGCGGCCTGTTCGTCTCGCAAATTCATTGTTCTGGGATCGTTTTGAGCGGAATTATGAAAATTTTGACGAAAGATCAGGAGTCTTTAATCCTAGAAATTGACTCAAATGTCAAGAATAAATT